TTGTACTGTAGCTAGCTAGACACAATAGAATGGGCTCCCATAGTACAGGTGGCTTCTCCGGGATGTGAAATGTACTGTATACTGTAGACATCACAGCCATTAGTAAGCAGTTTCCCCAGCACACTTGTGAACATATTTTCGGGAGGTTTGGCAATGGTTCCCTATGGAGCACTTCCTTGTTCTAGGCAGAAAGTGAATTTCCTCCAGTTAAGCCGGGCGGTGGTGGCGCACGCCTTTAATCCCAGCACTCGGGAGGCAGAGGCAGGCGGATCTCTGTGAGTTCGAGGCCAGCCTGGTCTCCAAAGCGAGTTCCAGGAAAGGCGCAAAGCTACACAGAGAAACCCTGTCTCGAAAAACCAAAAAAAAAAAAAAAAAAAAAAGAATATAACTTCCTTAGTCCAAATAATGTTACTTGTATGGATACATTCTCAGGGTGAGCCATTTGGTCCTGTATAATCAACTGGTGTGGTCTGCTCTGAGGAAGACTTCTTCTGGAGTTAGATTATAGATAGATCAGTTGGAAATGGGTTCCACAACTCTGAATTTTAACTGGTTGTGGTTTTCTTTAATTGTTTACAACATTTACATAGCAAAGTTTCCTAAATTGGGGAGAAAACTACATTTATCTATCAATATGAGGATAGATTTTCTTTTATTTAAATTTTTTCCATTTTACATACCAAATTCAGTTCCCCCTCCCTCTCTTTCTCCCACTTAACCCCCATCTTCCTCCCACCCCCATCCACTTCTCAGAGAGGGGAAGGTCAACCAAGGGGAGTCAACAAAGTCTGGCATATCAAGTTGAGGCAGGAACAACCAAGTCCACCCCAACCCCTCTCCCACCACACACACACACACACACACACACACACACACACACACCTAAGCTGAGCAAAGTATCCCTTCATAGAGAATGGGCTCCAAAAGGTCAGTTCATGCACTAGGGATAAATCCTGGTCCCACTGCCAGTGGTCCCACACACTACCCCAAGCCACATAACTGTCACCCACATTCAGAGGGACTACTTCGGTCCCAAGCAGGTTCCACAGCTATCAGTCCAGAGTCAGTGAGCTCCAACTAGGTTGGATCAACTGTCTCTTTGGGTTTTCCCATCATGATCTTGGCTCATATAATCCCTCCTCCCTCTCCTTGACTGGACTCTGGGAGCTCCACCCAGTGTCTAGCTGTAGATCTCTGCATCTGCTTCCATCAGTGTGGGGTGTTTACCCACCACCCCCACAGTTCCCCAGAGTTTTCTTGAGTACAATCAGCAGGAAATATTAGATAAAAGGATTTATAGTGGAGAATCTTGCGGAGATAAACAGATAGAAAATAAAGGATAGCCTCGAGAGGGCCTGGAACCTCTTCCAACGGGCCCCAACTGTCTCTGGCCCAGGGTTTTTATAGAGATGCCAAGGGGTGGAGCAAAAGACCTCCTCCCCCAGCACAGCCAAGTGCAGACCATCTCAGACACCTGCACTCAGGCCCGTGGTCCTGATCATCCTCTATTCGGACCTGCTGGGTAAAGCCACGAGGAACCCGAGAACGGGCTCCCACACATCAGTTACTGGATGAAGGTTCTATGATGATAATTAGGGTAGACATCAATCTATTACAGGGGAAGGTCAGTTCAGTGACCTTCTCCACTATTGCTTGGAGTCTTAACTGGGTTCATCTTTGTGGATTCCTGGGAATTTCCCTAGCACCAGGTTTCTCCCCTAATTGCATAATTTCTCCCTCTATCAAGATATCTCTTTCCCTGATCTCCCTCTCTGTCCCTCCCCCAACTCAACCATCCTGTTCCCTCATGTTCTCTTGCCACCTGCCCTTGTCTCCTTCCCCTCCACAGTCATGCTCCCAATTTACTCAAGACATCTTATCTATTTCCCTTTCCTATGGGGATCCATGCATGTCTCTCTTAGGGTCCTCCTTGTTACCCAACTTCTCTGAGGTTGTGGATTGTAGCCTGGTTAGAGGATAGATATTTTGGACCCATCTAGAAATAATGTTGGCATAGTAAAGAGGTGATTTAGGCTTTCCTCCAATATCCAAGACATCACTAACTCTGAGTTGATTTCCTATGTTGATTGCATTTAAGTCCAATTATTGAGCTATTAGATAGCAATAAATTATGTGAGTCACTATTGCCCTTTTAGAGTTATCATACCATGATGCTCAATGTAGTTCATAGTCTACATAGTTGGATAGTACTATTAATTGTTTTCTTCCTTTGGAAGTTTGTATGGAACCTTCTGAAACCATATAAGATAGTCAGTAGAGTAACCAGATACAGAATCGACATACAAAAACCAATAGCTTTCTGTATATCATCAACTAGCATATAGAAAAGAAGATCATGAACACACATCAATCACAATAGCTTCAAAGTAAATAAGTATATAGAAATAACCAAGAAGTCAAAATACACATATAAAGCAAAATTTAAATCTCAAAAGAGAGAAATAGAGAAAGACACTAGAGAACTGAAAGACATTAGGCCATGTATTGTTAGGATTCATATTGAGAAAATGACAATTTTACCAAAACCATTTACTGATTCAATGTAATCCCAATCAAAATCCCCTCTCATTTTCCACAAAAATAGAAAAAAAATTACCTTAAAATTTACATGGAATCACAAAAGATCCACATATCAAAAACAATCATGAGAAAAAGAGCAGTGGGGTTATTATCATTCTAAATCTCAAGGTATATTACAGAGGCATAGGAATCAAAACAATATTATCCAGGCACAAAAACAGATATTAAGATCTATGGAAGAAAACTGAAGACTCAAACATGAGGACCTATAACTACAGCCATTTTCTATTTGAAAACATGACAAAAAACATACACTGGAAAAAGAAAGCAATTTACAGGTAAATATATGAAACTAGAAAAGATCATATTGAGTGAGGTAACCTAGACACAGAAATACAAATATCACATATTCTCTCTCATCTATGGTTCATAATTACAAGTCTTCAGATTTAATTATATAACTTGTGGTAACTGCAGAAACCAGGAATATAAAAAGAGAATATTATAGGAGGAGGGAGGGAGGAAAAATCAAGATGGAAACAGCTGGGTACAAGTGATCTGAATGGAGAAAAGGGAAAAATGGGGAGGGGTTCTTATTGGCAAGGATAAATACAGAAAAATGAGGGAGGATGGTAAACTAATCATAAGGGTTCTATAGGAACAATATAAATAAAATACCTATGATATTCACAAGTCAGCACACAAATATAAACATATAATTTAAATGAAAAATTCGCAACTATACCGATAGTGACCCCTCCAAGAGCCAATGGCCATCTAATAAAAACCTCAACACAAGAATCCTTCTTTTGAGTTATTGGTCAGAGTTGTCTGTGAGACTCCCTAAACATTGTAGGAAAATGCTATTGCTCTTGGTTTTACCATGATGGTAGAAAGTAAGTTCCTATTGCTAAAGAAACCACAGACTTTGGATACAATGCCAAAAAGCTTCAAGCAGGCTGTGACCTGAAGTCTTCCTCCCTGACGACTAGATGTCATGGTCACAGAAGGGAATATGCAAGCTCCAATGGAGGGAAGCAACCAACAGACCTCCTCACCTATTATATCTATGAACCATCACAACAATTGAAATTGTACCATAGTCATAATAGTCAACAAGTGGCACACATACCCTGGTGGTAACCAAAAACTCTCTGGATTTAAGACCTTCTAAACATGAGAAAATTATATATACTTGGTACTAGAAATCTAGCCAACTCCAAGTGCCAATTTCTTAAAGCAGCAGCATTCCTATATATTGTCCTTATACCTACAGATAAGTGTGACCATCACTCCTCATCAAGGAATCATTTCTTAGCTACAAATGGAGACGACTACAGAAAACCACAACCAATCAAAATGCAGAGTTGTGGGACTCAGTCCCAATGGATACATCTTGAAAACAACTCCTGTGCCTAAGGCACAGGGAACATTGTGGGAGAGCAAATGGAAGAATTATAAGAGTCAGAGGGTTAGGGAATTTGCTGTGAGATTTTGTCTCTTAGAAATGACGGAAGTTGTATATGTGCATGAAGTTTCATCATTATGAATGCCTGAACATGACTTGGACAAGAATATAACATTATATGGGCTTAGCAGGTTGTATTTATATGTTTAGGAAAAATCAAAATTAAGGGGCTATTCTATTGCCACTAAGCTCATAATCCTGTTTTTTTTTTTTTTTTTTTTAACTCTTTACAAGTTTGACATTAAGCCTTTTCCCCTGGGCTGCACATTAGTTCCTCAAAGGCAAACAGGTCTGTAGTGATAGCAATCAGCAGGGTCTACAGGAACTAGTGTGGACAAATTCTTCAGGTGTGCTCCCCTCAAAACCATCCTGGTGTAACAATTCTCATCCTGAAGCTTCTCCTCCCATGAACTTGCAAATACTGGAAGTCCAATAGCCTTTGAAACCGTATCTTCTACCAAAATTGAGAGGAGGTGGTAAGCAGGAAACAATTCCGCATGAGACATCCATTTTTGTTCCCAGCAGCCCCCTGCCTAGGGATGGGCTCATGTGTGGGTGTAATAGCCAAGCTCACAGCAAAAGCTGCCATCATGCTACAGCTGTCAGGCTTATGAGAAATAACATCCAGAACGTTCTAAGTGTAGTTGCAGAAGGCCACATCCCAGAGCCGAGACCGCAGTTTACTTTGAAGAAACAGATGTGGGTGAGGAAAAGGTGATGAGACCACAAACCTCAAGTTGGTGGCATCTGGAGCCCACACCATGAATTATATCCACTTGCCCTAAGCATCAGTACCTCATTCACCAATGCAGTGTGTCAACAGCAGAACACAGACATGAACAGTTCCTACGTAACAGTCACTGGTGTTAAAAAAAAAAAAAAAAAAAAAAAAAAAAAAAAAAAAAACAACAACAACAACAACAAAAAACCAATCCTCCTCCTTTCATACCTCCGTGTCCAGATGGACTCTTGCTTAAGGGTTTACCTGTCTCCCCAGCTTGTGAGCTCCCTATCAGACTCTAGAGAACCTCTTGATTGGTTGGTGGCTAGACTCCAAGCCGGCAACAGCAGAGGAACAGCCAGAGCTGAGCCTGTTTCTGAGTGCGGCTCAGAGCCAAGGTGCCTTCTCCTCCCCAACACTGGGGAGTGCTGCAGAAAGCCCAGGGTAACTAGTCACAATATGACAAGGGGCCAGCAACACATTTTCTGGGTAACAAGGCCAATGAAGAGGACCCTAAAAGTACTGCTCTACTCAAAGGGCAACATGTACAAGGAGAGGGGAGAGCCTGGCCAGGTATACCCCCACTTTATCTCATTCAACCAGAAGATCAAATTGTTCAGCAGCTTCAAACTCAGAATTCATGGCCATAGCCCACTCATCCAGCTCCGATTTCAGGATCTCTGGCACCTTCTTTCGCTTCTCTTTCACGACTGGAGGGGAGATTCTAGGAAGCATCGTGTCTGGAACCCAGGGCTTTGCAGGTACTTTTGGGATTTCAGTTAACTTTGAACACACTACAGGTGAGACTCCAGGCAAGTCTTCAGGTCCCTCAAAGCCAAAGAAGGATCGGCGGCCAGGGGTGGAGGTTGAGGCAGAACTGAGGTTCTCCAGACGACTGTATGATCGGCTGACTTTCTGGGACATATCCAAGGCTCTGGTGTCCAGGTCCTCTCCTTCCACAGAGTTAGAATCAGCATTCTGGGTATACAGCACTGGGGTGCTGGTGGGGGTACCAGGAACACTACAAGTCTTGAAGAGGTCCTCCTTAGTGGGTACCTTGAGAGGAAGGCTGTTTTCTTTTTCCAAGATAAAAGAGACCCTAGGGCTCCTTCGAAGTGTGTGGACAGCTGGGGCCTTTACGGTATGAGCCACGATTTTCTTCAAGACGATGGCCTTTCTGGCTGGAGCCGCATGAGGTGTCTTCGGCCAACTTTCAGGAAAGATGTTCGGGAGATCTGAGCCAGATTTCCGCTGGGACCTCTTCGAAGACTTAGTAAGTGGAGTCCTGGACCCAGACTGCTGGGCGGCCCCTCCGGACCGCGTTCGCCGCTCCGACATGTCTCCTAATCCTGTTTTATTTTGACTCTTTAACATCTTTTTAAGGTATAAATATCATCTCAAAATTTATAAAAGCAGTATATATATTTTAAACTTTTGTCATGATATTAATGGTCATATAGAGTACTAATTCTAGAAAAAGACTCCATTTAAAAAAGACTTTCTGTACATTATTTCAGGTTTGAGTCCCTATCTGGTAACTCGGAATTAAGTTTTTGTACTCTAGATGTACATAATAAACTAATGGTCCTTTAACTTCTTCAAGATCTGCTGCATATGACATTTAAAATGTTTAAGTTTTCTGCAGGGAACCGTGGCCATGCCTAACAGCAGCCTTTGAAGTCTTAGGCCAGGAGTGGGAAGATGAAGCTGTAAGTTTGCTGTCTTCCTTTTCTGTTTGTGGTTCCTCCCCCATCTGTCTGCCTATCATGGGTCTATACACTTCCAGTTTTTTCACTACCAGTTTTAACCTGAGGATTGTTCTCAGAACACTTCAGGCTCTCTTCCCCATCACAGTCTCCCAAATTTTGAAATACCTTCAGCTTCCTAAGTGGGAAGCCTTTTGTTAAACCTCTTCGAATCGGATTTCAGGGGTGGAGTTCAGCCAGACAAACTTAGTTTTCTTTTGTTTATGGCCTGTCTCCAGAATAAATTTAACAACTAACTCCCCAGGGGGGAAAATGGCACAGTTGACTTTTAGATTCTCAGGGTTCTTGATAATTTCATAACCAGAAAATACAAATGTCAGAAAGTTTCCTATGTGCAAGCCTGTTTTCGCCCCCACTGATTACACTTCTTGATACCTGCAAAAATCACTCCAGCCACCACTTTTTCCATTCCTCTAGCCACACCTAAGAAACAAAGGGCCTAAAGCTGCCCACAACCTTCCCATAATCTGCAGCTCTCAGCCACAAGAGTAAAACAAAGCAAAAATAATAAGGCAATTCCACTACTTTCAGAAAACTTACAGTCCTGTGATTAAGCTGCTTTCAAACCCTGTACCAATTCTAAGCTATCAGTTCACTCTTGCTCTGCCTCATATCTTCTGTTGATGGAAGGCCTTCTCAAGTTTATCCTGAAATAAATGGTCCCTGTCATAGAGTTACCTTGTCCTTCTTACAGAAGTGTCTCTCCTAAGTGAGAAGTTGAAAAATAAATTTGGAAAAGATTATCTGCTGTAATTTTGAAATGTTTAAAAGCACATGAATTTTTATTTCTGTATTGTTGAAGAAAAAAGCTTGTGCATGTGTGGGTATTTTCAAGGTAATTGATGCATATCTCTTTACTCACTAGTTTCGTTTTTCCAGTATTACTTTTGAAAGCCATATTTAAGAAGTGAGGGAATGGTATAAATACAGAAACAAAATTGTTAAAATACTGGGAGTTTCAGTTTGATGATGACATGTAAAAGTTTTAAAGTTGTCATTCTTGATGTAGAAGAAAACAGCTGTTAAATCGACAATCAAGGATTTTTTGAAGACTCATGGTAGAACAGAAGTCACACCAACAAACATTCCAAACTGATCCCTGACTAAACTGACTGGAAGACTCCATGCAAGCTTCCATAAGGAGGAAGCAACCACCAATTCTATACAGCTGTGAGGCCTATGAACCATATCAAGTAACAGCAGGCACAATAACCAGAAGAGTGCATTCATGGCACACATAAGTGCTGGTAACTTAAGCTCTCTAATTGGCCTTAAAATCTGCTCTAAGAGATGGAAACTGTGCCTGCTACTGAAAACCTAGCCAAGGACTCAGGGCTAATGGAGTCATGGGTTCTGGAAGAAATCCATCAACTATCACTTCACTAAACTAGCATAAGCCCTAACTTCATTTTGAATCTTTGACCTTATACATATTGATAATTATATTTCTTACTCCTCTTCAAGGAAACTTCTCCGTAAACTTTTTAGAAGACAAAGACCATTATAGAAAATCAGGAACCAATCAAAACACAGAGTTATGGAGCATAGTCCTAATAGATACATTTACAAAACACTGCAGCACATAAGGCTCAGGGAACATTGGAGAAGATGGATAGAAAGATTGTAAGGTCCAGAGGACCAGTGAATTAGCTGTGAGACTGGGTCTTCTAGTAATGTAAGAAGGTACACCACCCATAAAGTCTCCCCAAAATGACTACCTAAACAAAAGCTGAACAACAATGATTCAACAGACAATCCAAAGTGAAAGGAGAAAGTCACAGTCAACACTACCTAAAGGACTACAGACAGCTAAGAAATGGTGGTAGCAGATGGAATCGTCTTCCCTAGTGTGAAGTACACCAGCTGGTTTTCCAACACCAAACATACATACAAGTAACCTCATATAGACTGAAAATATTGTATTTAGAAATATATTTATATACATATATATGTATATGTATATATATATATATGTGTGTGTGTGTGTGTGTGTGTGTGTGTGTGTGTGTGCATATACCCTTGTGACAACACTTAAAAAATAGACAATTAATATGAAAGATGAAGTCAATATTTAAGTGAAGGTTTAGAAGAGATACGTTCATACTGGTTAACTAAAATTCAACTTTGTTAGTCTCCTCCAGTTACAACAACAAAATACCACAAACTGTAACTGAAACAACAGACATATATTTTTTGTAGGTCAGGAAGCTGGAGGTCTAAGATCAAATTGACTGCATTTACTTCTTGATGAGGACTCCTTCTTGGTTTATAGCCATCTCCCTGTTCTGACTAGAGATATCTGGGAGAAAATTCTCTTCTCTTATTCCTCATATGGTTATATTGGTCCCATTATTTGTGCATGGTTCTCCCTTGACTTCATCTAATTATCTCTCAAAGTGGTGGTATTCTAATTTCATTGCACTGTGGGTGATCGTTTCCACATGAATTTGGGCAATGTATAATCAGTCCATAACACTACTCATATGTTGTCTGAAAACCATCAAATATAAATATGAAGACTCAAGTTATTATTAAACACTAAAGACAGAAGACTTCCAGGGTTCCCTAAGAAATGATAACTTGTCAATTCTCTTAAAAGTATACTACAGTCTCTCATGTGTGTGTACCTAACAATTGTGTCAAAATACAAATTGGTAAAACTGAAAGGCCTGAAAAGCGAAATAGTCATTTTATTGTTAAAGAGACCTCAACTATAATATTCAGTATATCAAGCAGGGAACCTTAATAGAAATGACTCGAACAGCTTGATCCTGTGACATTTAGAGAAATCTGTCAAGCAACAGGTTAAATCTGATGTTGGCTTTCATACAGATTGAAATATTTAGGATCAGAAATTATACATGCTTGTTATGCTAAGTAAAAAAAGTTAAATACAAAAGCCTCTACTGTCCCTTTAAATAATTTCATTTTATAGATTTATTAAGTTTATATCAAAGCTATATATTAAATTTGAAATAATTATTTCCACATCAGGCATTGTTTGTTGATTTTAATTTTGTAAATTGATTTTCATGTGTTTTGTGAATTAAAACATTGTTTTCTTTATAGTGTATGGAATATCTTAGTTACTTTTCCTTTTGCTGTTATAAAGCAAAAGCAATGTAAGAGTGCAAAACATCATTGTAGATCCCAGGAATCATGGCGTAGATGTCAAGAAGGCAAGAGCTTGAGGTTTGCATTTAATAACATGTAATAGAAACCTCCATGTGATAACATACCCCAAAGGGCACTGCACTGGCTAGTTTTGTGTGTCCATTTGACATAAGCTAGAGTTATCACTGAGGAAGGAGCCACAGTTGAGGAAATGCTTCCATGAAATCCAGCTGTAAGGCATTTACTCAATTAGTGATCAATGGGGGAGGGTCCAGCTTCTGGTAAGTAGTGCCATCCATGGGCTGCTGGTCCTGAGTTCTATAAGACAGCAGGCTGAGCAAGCCTGGGGAAGCAAGCCAGTAAGCAGCACCCCTTCGTGGCCTCTGCATCAGCTTCTGCCTTCAGGTTCCCAGACGGTTTTAGTTTTTATCCAGACTTATTCCTGTGGTGGACAGCAATGCTGAAGTGTAAGTCAGAGAAACTTACCCCACCCCCAACTTGATTTTTGGTCATGATGTTTTGTCGCAGCAATAGAAACCAAACCCAAGACAGGCACTTAGATTTTCCATGTAAGTATAAGCCTAGAAGTAGGCTTTCCAGAATTTGTGTAGCTTGTTCCTAGACTGACCATCCTCAAGGCTGTGAGAAATAAATTTTTTGTTTTCAGGAATTACTAACTCTCTGGTATTTGGTTATAGCAAGAAAAAGAAAGAGAGAAAGAAAGAAAGAAAGAAAGAAAGAAAGAAAGAAAGAAAGAAAGAAAGAAAGAAAGAAAGAAAGAAAGAGAAAAAGAAAAAGACATCACCATGCTTCTTCTGTAAAATGATTTATTCATGGTTCTCTCTCTGAAATCAAAGTATCTTTTCCAGAAAACCATTACTTTGGAGACTAAGAGAGTACAAAAATTACATAAACACTATACCATGCCCATATAACTGAACATTAAGTGGATACTAAAACCATGTTTTAGATTTTTTGTTCATAAAGAAAATCACAAGAGGCATTTACAACAGATACAAATAAACACATGTAAAATTTTGTATTATTAGTTTGATACAGCTGAACTTGGATGAACTGAACTTAGGTCTGGTCACATTTCTGTAAAGAGATTCAGGATACAACTGTAATATTAGATTTAATTTATATAGTTCTGTGGAAGAAAGGACTGTGAAGGGTTTTAGTTATATTTCATAGTATGGATGTTTCAGTAATTTGGAGCTTAATCATTGTCAATTTCAGCTTTTGTTTTCCCCATTATTTCTTCCTGAGTGGAACTACAGAATACTTTTGGTTCCTTCTCTAACATGGTCAGTTGTATACAGTTCATAACGCTTTTAATCATAAATAATGACTAAAGCAGTGTAGCATAGCAATTAAACAGTAGAGGAAACACATCTCCCACAAAGTTTTAGTTTGGGGGAGGTTCCTGAGTCCTGCTAACAAATATCTTGTACCCAT